GCACGGGGCGGGAAGACAGGCAGAGACGGTGCTCAGGGGGGCACGGCGCCCGCACTCAGGGGCGAGGGAGGGGGCGTGAGCACACGGATCCAGACCAGGAAGCCGGCCCTTCACCTCCATCTGGGCGAACAACGTCCGAACTCGAATCAGGAAAACGCCCGTCGCCTCCCTTCCTGAGACTGTCACTCAGTGTCCGGCTAGTCCCGCGTGTGACTGTCACGGGCACGGTGGGATTTACAGGCGGCCGCGCTCTATTTCATTCGGCCGGGGCCCGTCGGGCAGCCGCGCAATTAAGAAGCTGTCAGGGCCCGTCGCTTGTCACTGGGGCGGCCGGCGCCTGCGGCTCGGCCATAAACATCCCACAAGGCTGAGCCTCGCTCCAAGGTCTCGGCCCGAGAGCCGCTCCCTCCCTCCGAACGCCCCTCCTAAATCACAGACGCTCTCAGGAGCGTCTCCGCCAGGGAACATCCGACCTCCAAGCCTCAGGACAGGGGGAGCGAGGTGCTGAGTTTTCAGCGACGACGGAAACCTCCCTCGATTCCCTCATTAACCTGCTGGTCAGCGGGAGCCGCGGCATGAATCGCCGACACTCATCAGGCTACAGATTTCTCTGAAAACAAGGACCTGCGCCCCGGCCGGTGTGGCTCAGTGGACAGAGCGCCGGCCCGCGGACTGCAGGGTCTCGGGTTCGGTTCCGGTCAAGGGCACGTACCTGCACGTACGTGCGGGTTCCCCGGCCCCGGTCAGGGCTCGTGTGGGAGGCAACCGATCAATGCTTCTCTCTCTGCGTGACTCTCCTCCTCCCTCCAACTCTCTCTAAAAATCGATGGGAAAAATATCCTCGGGCGAGGACTGAACCAAAAATAAAATGAATAAAATGAAAAATAAGGGCCCATGCAGCTAGGCCTACCTCCTCCTGGAGAACGAGGCAGCGGGCGCGTCCGTGAGGTCGGGCTCCCACTCGTCCTCGGGGTCACAGAAGAGGTCCTCGCACTGGCAGTTACTCTGGGAGAAATAAGACAGACGGTTTCTGCTTGTTACGAACGTAAATACGTGTTTGCACTTTATTTTACTTTTTATTATGATTTGTTTAATCTGTATTTCTATTGATTTCAGAGAGAGAGGGAGAGGGAGAGAGAGAGAGAAACACCGATGATGAGAGAGAATCATTTGATCGGCTGCCTCCTGCAAGCCTCCTACTGGCAATTGAGCCCGCAACCCAGGCGCGTGCCCTTGACCGGAACCGAACCCGGGACCCTCAGTCCGCAGGCCGACTCCTCCCGGCGGCGGCGGTTTTATCTGAGGTCCGGACCTGACCCCGCCTGGCCCCGGGGCGAGGGCTCTGAGAGTTTGTGTGTGGGTTTGCCTCATTAGCATTGCATCCGGGGTTTCCATAGCTGTGATCGCACTGAGATTGGCTTGTGGTTCTCTTCTGAGTCATCTTTTCGTGTTTTGTGGTTTTCGTTTGATTTTAATCAATGGTTCTATCGTCGGAAGGCCGCCGGGACGCCTGTCTTTCTTGATGCCCTGGGACCGTTCTCGGGATCTGTCTGTTCGGAAGGTTTGGAGGTTCGAAGGCACTTCCTCGTGAAACGACTGGGATCCGCCCCTTTTCGCGCCCGCCCCCCGCCCCCCCTTCATTTTTTGTCTTGTTGACTGACTTTCCGGTGTGTTGCGGTTACTCAGCTTTCATAACTTTTTTTCTTTTACCAGAAAGGCTTTTCTTCCTGGAGAATGACCACACTTATCGGCACAGCTGCACATGCGACATGGCCTTAAAGGCCCTGTGGTCTTTGTTGAGACGCCGCCCGCACCTCGAATCCCTGGTTCCCCTTCCCAGACCCGGCGCCCGCGTGCGCTGACCTCCTCCTCGTCCGCGACGGCTTTCACTCTCGCTGGCTTTCCTTTGCTCCGTGTCCTGATTTCCCAGGTTGACCACACACTTTTCCCGCAAGGAAACAGTCCAACCCTCCGACTCACCAGTTATTAAACACAAATGAAAACAAACTGGTAAAACAGGTGAGGGGCAATATTTCTGGTTGCAAACTGTGAGCATCAAAGTGTGATTAAAAAGACTCCTATTTGGGGTATGATTTTAGAAGACAGAAGACAGAAAGTAAGATATCGAAAACAAGTAGGGCCCGGCTGGTGTGGCTCAGTGGTTGAGCGCTGACCTATGAACCAGGAGGTCCCGGTTGGATTCCCGGTCAAGGGCACTTGCCCGGGTTGCGGGCTCCATCCCTAGTGGGGGACGTGCAGGAGGCAGCCGGTCCACGATTCTCTCTCATCACGTCCCTTCCTCTCTGTAAAAAATCAATAAAATATATTTAAAAAAATAGATTTGCTATTGTTGATGTCTCCCCCTCTCTCTCCGTCTCCCTTCCTCTCTGACATCAATAGAAACATATTTTAAAACCGTGTAGAGAGAGTCATAGCACGTGAACCACCTCGAGCTCCTTCAGGGCCGCCAGCTTGGACTCAAACTTCTCCAGGCTCCAGAGGGTGGACACGCCCAGCCGCAGGTTCCACACCCGGACCTGGGGGCCAGGGCCACCCCCTCTGTCGGGTGCCTCGTGTCTGAAACACACCAGAGGAAAAGGCCATCGTAAGACACACGTGCCCGTCACTCCCACGGGAGCTTCTGGACCAGAGGCCCCTCCCCCAGCACGGGGCCTGGAGGAAGCCCTCAGGGCTCAGCATGCTGTGGCGTGACCATCATGGGCAGGTGTGTGTCCTCTGTGTCACCGTTTCTGAAGGGACACGGAGGTGAACTCTGCAAACCCAGAGCTGCTTTCCAACCCGACCACCAAGGCCTCACCTGCCAAACACGAACTGCCTCTGAGCGCGGCCACTGAGGGCGTTGGCCTCCTGGATCATGAGGGAGAGCTTCAGGGAGCCCCAGCTCGTCGGGACTGGAAGCGAGCACACGGGGTGTGAGTGCACACGCACACGCACACACACGCACACACACAGCTCGTCGGGACTGGAAGCGAGCACACGGGGAGTCAGTGCACACGCACACACACGCAGGCATGTGCACAGACACACGCACACACACATGCATGCACACTCTAGCAATCGCCCCAGGGGAGGACAGGGCTGGAAAGTCATTCGCTTAATGCTTTAGCCGGGTGAGGGTGGCGTCTGAGCAGCTCTCCTCCGACCCGTGCTGCGTGCACAGCTCTGGGCACAGGGGGCCGAGAAGCGCCGACCCCGTCGCACACTCACCGGGGGGAGCCCTGTCCTTGCCGCCCCGGTTCTGCTGCAGCGCCTGCACCTCTTGAGCGATTTTTTGCTTCTCGGCTTCCAGGGCCTCCAGGATCCTCGTGTGGCGGACGCTGTGGTCGTCCAGAGCCTGGGCCGAGCACCGCGGGGCCACGCGTGTGCATGTGGGAGAGAGAACACGGAGGGCTGGGCCACGGCACACGCTGCCACTGCGGCTCAGCTCGCAGGGCATTCCAGTCAGCACAGGAGGCTGCTGGGAACTTAGGAAACGTCTTTAAGGAACGCCTTCCCCCCAAAAACGTCATTAGGGCTTTAATTACATAGATTAATCTTTCTCTCTCCACTGACAGGAGTTAAAAACAAACAAAAAACCACACAAAACAGCGCTCACAGCAGCCCACGGTCAACGCTTTTGAAAACCTCACTGGCACCATCAGCCTGTGACCGCCGACTAACCCTGTTCTCAAGGTTTAAGCAGTTCTTGCCGAAACCGGTTTGGCTCAGTGGATAGAGCGTCGGCCTGCAGACTGAAAGGTCCCAGGTTCGATTCCGGTCAAGGGCATGTACCTGGGTTGCGGGCACTTCCCCAGTGGGGAGTGTGCAGGAGGCAGCTGGTCGATGTTTCTCTCTCATTGATGTTTCTAGCTCTCTCTCTCTCTCCTTTCCTCTCTGTGAAAAATCGATAAAATATATTTAAAATAAAAAAGATTTAAGCAGTTCTGCTTTTTCTCCTAAAACCCTCGAGTTTGGGCCCTCGGTGTCCTCGAGCTGACCCCTAAGAGTGACCACATCACCACCGTGTCCACAGTTGGGGCCACTGGGGTGTTTGCTCCCAGCGCCACCCCCACCGCAATCATGGAAAAGAGAAATAAAACCCTGAGAGTGACGCTGGGACATTAAGCCCCTGATTCTCCACCCACAGCCCGGCTTCTCCCCCGACGGCCCAGCTTCTCCCCTGACAGCCTGGCTTCTTCCCCGACGGCCCCGCTTCTCCCCTGACAGCCGGGCTTCTCCACCAACAGCCCGGCTTCTCCCCCGACAGCCCGGCTTCTCCACCCACAATCCTGCCTCTCCACCCACAGCCCGCCAGCTCCCCCCACA